TCAGACCTGGCCCAGCCGCCCGGGCATCCACGTCCGCCTCTCCTCACTGTCGGGGTGTCACCGGGTGGGGTCTCATCTGCAGCCGGGCGGGGAGGACCCGCGTCCGCCCGTGGTGGCGGAGAATGCAGCTCTCCAGGGCCGGGGGCAGAGGCGGCCTCTGAGTCCTGTCCCAGGGCCTCGCCCCCACCCTACGCGCTGCCTGCCGCCTGGTCGGAGGCCTCCATCTCCGTGACCGGATCTCAGAGTGACCGCTGTCACCTTGGCCACGCTCTGTTGTTTAGAAGCAAGTCCCGAGGCCCAGGCCACACTCCAGGGGCGGAGAGGGCAGGGCGTGGAGACCAGGAAGCGGGGCCGGGGGCCCGTCCTCAGAGCCTGTTACCTGCCGACCTGCTCGGCCGGTCCTCTCGCGGCCGGGCCTTGCAGCGGAGGCCGGTGGGACCGGCAGGCCTCCCGCCCACGGGGTGTGCGTGCTCCGTGTGGGTTATGACGGCAGCAGCTGTTTCATTGCTTTTTAAACATTTACACACGATGTCACAGTGGGAACGTCTTCTTAGAAGCCGCGCCTCCTGGCCTCGCTGAGGGGCTGGCCCCCTCCCACGCAGCCAGAGGGGATGATCAGGCCGGGGTGCGGCCACGCGGGAAGGACATCCATCGCCTCCTTGGGCCCCGGCCGCGAGCCAGGCCGGTCCTTCCGTGACCTCGCGCTTCTGCAGGGAGATGCCCGGTGCTGGCTGCCAGGGAGTGGGGCCAAATCGTTCATTTCCTCTTACTAATTGGCTTGGCGATAAGGGGGGGCGGCGTTTATTTCTACATTTAGATTCACATGTGGCCCTTATTTCTATAATTGGTTGAAGGGAGAGGGTTTGAAAATGTTGGAACTGAGAGTGAAACCAGAAAGAAGTAAAGTAGGTCCACAGGACGGGGTGGCTCTTCGGCCAGAAGTTCTCGTCCGTCTCTGCGCGAGAAATCGGGAGTGAGGACGCAGGCGGCGCGTCCCTGGGCTGAATGGCCGTGAGTGAAAGAGCCGCCGCCGCCCAGCAGTTCATCCGATGCCTCCGGGGAAAGGCCTGTTCTCTCCCACGCCCCTCACCTCTGCCTCTGGGACGCTGACGGGTGCCCCTAATGCGGAGGCAGTTCCCGCCGGGAGCCGAGCCCG